ACCGGGGATTGAACTCAGGTCCTTGCACTTGCAAGGCAGGCCACCAAACCACTGAGCTAAATCCCCAGCCCATGGAAACCTTCTACTGAGTCGGGTTTTTTTTTGTTGTTTTTGTTTGTTTAGAGAGAGGGTCTTGCTGTGTAGTTCAGACTGGCCTCAAACAGTGATCCCCCTGCCTCAGCCCCAAGTAGTTTATAGCTAACCTGAGGCCAAAAATTTACTCCTGTGTACTATAGTAACAAATTAGGAAATATACTTGGATGAAAAGTGTTCCTATAACAACAGAAAGACATAAACTAGAAATACAATTCACAAGAAATGTGCAAAAATCTACATAAAGAAAATGATATGTCTGGCCTAAAGTATAAAACACAAGTACTTGGAAACATGCTGTGTAGCTGAATGGAAAGTTGTTTCTAAAAGATGTTGATATTCTTACCCCAGTTTAATCTTTGAATTTTTTAGCATTCTAAATGTTTTTTTAAACAAAAATCCAAAGTAATACATTTTTGTTTGCGTTCTGGGGATTGAACCCAGAGCCTTGTGCATGCTAAAGACAAGCCCTACTGCTAAACTTCCCTAGCCCACAGTATATTTTCCAAAAAGAGTGGAGGCAGTGTATTTGACATACCGGATAATCAAGGCACTGAAATAACAGTGTATCACTGGCACAAGAGTAAATTAACCAATGGAGGGGGATGCAGAAACAGCCCTGAATATTTCTGTGACTTTACGATAAATGATTGTTCAAATAAATGGGAAAAGGAGAATGTTAAGTAGCTTTCTTGAAAGTTAGTGTGAGGCTTTGAGTTCAGTCCCCAGCACCATTTTTTTTAAAAATTCAAAAAGTATGTCAAACGCAAAAAACAAGGTGCGGATAAGATTTGGGAGGGGAGAAAAAAGAACAAAGTATAAAGTTATGTAGTTAGTATGCTCCTCTTTGGGCCAAATTACATATAAGTGCTCAAATTCTCAGAATATTTCCAGGCTACTCGAGAATTGATTCCAGGCCAGTAGTGGTGATGCACACCTGTAATCCCAGCACTCGGGAGGCTGAGGCAGGAGGATCGCTGTGAGTTCGAGACCAGCCTGGGCTACATAGTGAGTTCCAGGTCAGTCTCAGCTACATAGTGAGACCCTGTCTCAGAACCACCCCCCACAAAAAAATTCCAGATTATAAATTCTAGCCACTGGGGTCTTCTCCATTTAAAGACCAAGACAAAGCCAAAGGTCAGCATGAAGGCAGGCTTCCTTCCTGTGCTTTTGTCTCAAGATTTGGCCTCCACTGCATTGGTGTCAGGAAGTGGGAGATCTCCAGGCCTGGCTGCCCGTCGGGAGACATTGTAGCAGTTGGCTGTGGCTCAGGACAGGTACACAGGTGGGGAGGATGAGGAGCGAAAGTGGGCATGGCCCCGTGTCAGGCCCAGACCCTCAGACACCAGGCTGGGGCAGAGCTCAAGGATAGAGTACTTGCCCAGCACACTCAGGGCCCTAGGTTGATCCTCAGCACTGCAAAACTAACATTTTTTTAAATTGATAAAGAGATGCTGTATAGACGCTGGCCCACAGGTAGCCTTGAGTATCCGTCTGAGGGGTGAAATAAGCCCATGAATGTTCACAATCCCTAGCACTTTCTCAGCCAGAAACTGCCCTTTCCTGACACTCCAGATGTGGATGCCTTAGCCTGAGGCACACATGGTGTGGCTATACACCATGAAATTAACCTGTTTGAAGTCTACACCTCTGGTCTTCAGTTTATTTACAGGGTTTTGCAACCATCACAATATAATTCTAGAGGATTTCTATACCCCTCGAAACAATCTGCAGAGAAGTTGCCACACTCCTCATTCCTCATCCCTAAGGAATCCCTGATCCAGTTTCTGTATGAATTTGTCTGTTCCAGGCATTTCAAGTAAATGGAATCGTACAATACCTGGCTTTGTGACTGGCTCCTTTCACTAAGCACTGTGGTTTCATTCGCTATATAGCTTATATCCATCCCTTACCCCTTTTGTCAAGTGATATTCTGTGATAGGAATCTGTCACAGTATGTTTTACTTGGAATTGATCACAAGGCCTTTGAACTGAGGTACATCCCCATATTTATTTGTTTTGGTTTTTTTGAGACAAATTCTCACTAAGCTCATGATAATCTTCCCGGATGGGCAGCAACACACCTTGCTTCATCTAAATTATAGCTAAAAGTTGTGTAAACATTTATTACAAACTAGTTACAGCTGGGTGTGGTGGCATATGCCTATAATCCCAGCATTCAAGAGGCTGAGGCAGGTGGATTGCTCTGAGTTTAAGGCCAGTTTGAGCTATTAGTGGGTTCAAGGCCAGCCTGAATTACAGTGCAAGGACCAATCTCAAAAAAACTAATCACAAAGTTAGTAACAAAGTTAAAAAAGGTTTTAGTATAGCAGCTTTTACAGCTAAAGGTTCTCATATTTAGATCCCCATTTTGAGGCAATTTCTGCATATAGTCAGGTAAAGGATCTATCTCCCTTCTTTAGTGTGTGCCTCTGCAATTGTCCCAGCAGTATTTGGGTTTTTGTTAATGTTAATTTTGGTAGGGTCTTTTTTTTTCATTTCCCATAAGGACAGCTTTATTTCTTTTCACACCTAGTTTACCAGGCTGGAACTTTCAGTACAGGTTATAAAGGAGTGAGCAGCCTTGAGCTGGGTGGGTGTGGTGGTGCACACCTGTGATCCCAACACTCAGGCAGGAGGATCTCTGGGAGCTGGAGGCCAGCCTGAACTACACAGTGAGACCCTGTCTCAAACATAAACAAAAACAATTAAAAAAAAAAAAACAAACATGGCAGGTGTGGTGGTACATGCTCATAATCCCAGCACTCTGGTGGCTGAGGCAGGAGGATTGCTGAAATTTTTGTTTTGGTTTTTGAGACTGTCTCCCTGTATAGTTCAGGCCAGTTTGGAACTCAGTTTGTAGCCCAGGCTGGCCTCACTCACAGCAATCCTCCTGCCTCAGCCTCCTGAATGTTGGGAACACGGGCATCTGCCATCATACCCAGCCTGATTGCTGAGATTTTGAGGCAGCCTGGGCTACATAGTTCAAAGCCAGTCTAAATGAGTTACAGTGAGACCCTGTCTTAAGCCCACTCCCCAGTCAAGCCCAATCTGGGCATTTAGCCAGACCCTGTCACACACACACATGCACACGCGCGCGCGCACACACACACACACACCCCTGGAGATGTAGCTCAGTGTGAAGGCCCTGAGTTCATTCCCCAGTACTTTAAAAAAAAAAGTATTTATGTAAATACTCATATGGCTTAATCTGTATTAAATTGATTTTGGGGTTTTCAGTCATCCCTGTATTCCTGGAATGAACCCCACTTGGCCATACTGTATAATATTTTTAATATACTGCTGTTTGCTAGTATTCTGTGTGTGATGTTTGTGTCTGTATTCATAAGGATATTGTGTTGTTTTCTTGTGATGTCTTTGCCTAGTGAGACGGTCTGACTGCCGTACCTCACTTTTCCTTTGTCCCTCGTCCCTCCCCAGTTCCCTTGTAGGTCTTCCCCAGGTCATTGCATCTGGGAAATGCAAAATCATAAGCCCTGGCCTCAGCTTCCAGTCTGTGTGGAGCACATCCCCTTGCCAAGTGACCGGATGGGTCAGTGCTCACCCCAGACCCTGAATTCAATCCCTAGCACAGAATGGAAGAGAGGGAGGGGGAAATGAAACAGAAAAGGACAGGGTTGGGGGAGAAAGAGACAGAATGGAAGAGATGAGCTGCTCGGGGGAGCACGCACTGGGACTGGGGCTGAGGCAGCAGGACCTGCTGGTAGAGCGTTTATTTTGGACTCAGCTAAGGAGGCTCAGAGACTGATTCTGGACTGAAACACAGCCCACTCACAATAGCAGTCTCCTGGAGGCTGCCTTTCTTTCAGTTTCCATCCCAGCCAAAACCTCACCTCCCACCTACTCCTTCCATGCAGTAGGATCCAGCCCAAACAACCTTCTGCTGATTTGTTTGTTCCCAGCTTTGGGACCTTTGCCTTTGCTGTTCCCTGGGGATGGATGAAACCCAGTGCTGTAGGTTAGGCTGTGATGTTTGTCTCAGTCAAGTGTCAAAAAATGTTTTTTTTTCTTTTAAGGATCTCACTATGTAGCCCAGGCTGGCCTTTAACTCAGTGATCCTCCTGCCTCGACCTCCTGAGTGCTGGGATTACAGTAGATTAAATTTTTTTCTCCTCTTCCTGCTTTCTTTTTGAGTGGAGGGGTCAGGGTCAAGCTTGTGATCCTTCTGTCTCAATGTCAGGAGTAGTTGGGACCACAGTCAGGTACTACCATGCTTGCAACTGTATTGTTACTGTTGCACAAAAAATTACTACACATTTAGCATCTTAAAACAGTATCTAGGCCGGGCGTGGTGGCTCACGCCTGTAATCCCAGCACTCGGGAGGCTGAGGCAGGAGGATCACTGTGAATTCGAGACCAGCCTGAGCTACATAGTGAGTTCCAGGTCAGTCTCAACTACATAGTGAGACCCTGTCTCAAAAAACAAACAAACAGACAAACAAACAAAAACAGTATCTAGCCAGGGATTTAGCTCAGTGGTTCCACTGCCTGCCTCTCGCAAGCACAAGGACCCGAGTTCGATCCCTGGTAAAAATAAATAAATAAATAGAATTACATTAAAAAAAAACAAAACAAAACAGTATCTATTCCCTCATAGTTCCTTAGGCCAGAAGAACTTGGCTGATTTCTCCATTTAGGTCTCAGGAAGCTAAGCC